TCAAGTCAATTTCACCTATTACTGTGGCCAACTGGATCAAACATCACTTACAACAAGCAGGAATTGATATGAAGAAGTTCAAGGCACATTCGCTTAGATCAGCAGCAAGTACATCAGCCATTTCCAAGGGAGCTTCAATTCACTCAGTTAAGATGCATGCAAATTAGAGCCTCAATAGCGACACTTTGGAAAAATACTACTACAAACCAAGAGATCAACACCAGCGTGGGCGTATCCTCACAACAAAGATTTTTGAAAACGCTAATTAAAACCGAGCCACATCCGAAGTCGGAGTGAAGCCAACGGCAATTGTGTTAGGCACGACACACAATCAAGAAACTATAACTATCAAGTACAAACTTATCAAACAACATAACCTTAAGCCATAACAGGACCCACATTTACAGTATCTTATACTCTGCACGTCTAATGCAAGTTTTAATGATTTATGATTTATGATTTATCATATATCATTTATTATTTATTATGGCAATGTTGGCGAAACGAAGACAGAGGATGTGGTTAAAGGCTTTCTAGCCGCACTTTTATTCTCAGATTTATTATATAAAAAATTTTTTAAGCTTCTATTGTCCTTTATATCTTTCAAAGTTGTAACTTGATTTTCGAAACCCTGGTGACAAGGGTGGGACCAGGTAAACCATCGGAGGTACCAAGGACGGATAGCCACCACATCCTCTGTCTTCGTTTCGCCAACATTGCCATAGTAAAGTAGCCTTGTAATAAGGTATTTGATGATAATTGGTTTGATAAGTGACCACCAGATCTTGTATAGATCAAATAAAGATAGCAATAAGGTTTGCTTGATAAAATAGAGCTACAATGAAGTATAATGTGACTTCAAGGGACTTTTATGAATCAATAAAGAGTTATATAAGAGGTACAATAAGAATTTATTGTAAGAATAAAAGTGATAATAAAAATAAAAGTAAATGTGATGCTAAAAGTGTTGGTTTGTTGCTGTAGAGGATAATGTTATTTATTTATACTATATTATTTTTTTGTTGGTTTCCTATTTGGGATGACTTCGTCCTTTGACAACTTAGTCCTTCAACAATGCCGTCCTCTGAAACAAATTCCCAAAAATAGCAGTTACAATACCAAAAAGGGCATCAATATAAAGAATAAAAGTATATGGCATTAGTTATGGTTATTGTCGTATATTTTGTACAACTTATTTCTATTTTAGTCAAGTTACACTGTTGATCCTTTTTGGTAGTTATCCATGTCAGTTACAAGAAACGACTCATCATAAGCACTCAAGTATACATTGTAACAATAGCGGAGTTGAAACAGATGAAGTTCAAACAAATGAATTTTAAATTATTTTAGTATAAGTACATTCAATATTTTTTAAATAAAGTTATCATCTAGTTATCAGTTAATGATCAGTTAGTTCTGTTCTCAGTATAACTCACTCACCTTTATATTCTTTTATTTAAAGACTTTTACTTTCTAATACATTTTTTATTTTAAAGTACTTTTTATTATTCTTTTATACTTTTACTTTTCTTTTAACACTCTCAACTACCGATACACATATCTTGAAGCCTTGTATCAGTAGGATTCACTTTTATCTTTACTTTTATTCTTATATAACGCAAGTTATTTCTTTTGATCTATTAAGATCTGGTGGTCATGCGACAAAAACTCTTATATAACTCAAATTATATTCAAGCCTTTACCCAAACCTAACCATTTTACAACATCCTCATGATGACTCAGAAAACATAATAATTAGTGTAGCAAGCCTGGTTATTTTTTTCTATAATTAGTATATTGTACAGCGCAGATCTCAAAAGGTCTTTTACACTGTGACATATTAGACGAATTTGGTAATAGAGTACCACAAGATCAATACGAAATTTTCATATTTTTGAAAATATCGATACAAAAAGTAGTCCTGATGTCCTCTCAAAAACATATAAATAGCCTTAGTCCTTGCCTCCCCTTGCCAAAAAATTCATTCATCAATTAATTGAATAAATCACCTTTTCTCTTTATTTTATATTCATACAATAAACAGGTCTTAACTTTTGTTATAAAAGTTCCTGCTCTTATTCTTTTATCATCACACCTTTACGAACCTAACAATTGATCTTTTAACAAGATCTGGTGGTCACTATACTATACAAACCTTTGCTTAAACGCAAACTTTATTCAAACCTTTGACTTATAACAAGTCTACTCAACCCACTCTAACGAAAGGAAGCAAAAAATTACAACACCTCAAAAGGTCTTTTATCACTATTATTATTATCCATAACATTTTCAACGATATATAAACATCCTCTTATTTTTATAAAATAAAAAAAGTAGTGAATTCAGTATTGAAACAAGTAGTAAAAATAACTACTCAATCACTCATCTCTTTTATTTTCTTTTCTTATTTACCTTTATACAAGTCTTAACGACTTATCTTCTTATTATATTTTTTTTCTTTTGATTTACTTACTTAATTGATCTGACAAAGATCTGGTGGTCACAAACAAGCAACCTGCTCGTACAAGAATATCTAACTTTTACAAGACTTAACATTTCCAAATCTATTCAAATCCTACTTTAAACTCTTATATATAAGGCAGCCTAACAAGACATAACCCGCCACATTAGCATTAAGAATGTTTTGCCAAGTACAAAGGTAAGAGACAAACACTAATAAGATGAGAAGAGAATAGAAAAAGGATAATAAGTCAGCGAGACTGAAAATATATGATATCTTTATTTACGATGAATAAAACAATGGTATTTATACTTTTTAACATCTACAATCAATAATGATAATTGGATATCGAGGGCGTACCTATAAGCGTCCAGCTACAATGGGAATAACTGGGAAGAACCTAACTAGTATTAACTAATGGTTCAATGTATGTTCGAGGTGCCTTGTGGATGAGGTGATACATGATCTGAAAATGTCTTGTCGAATAAGGAACCGCTGTCCTGGAAGTTAGAGCACAGACGTTTCATATGGATATTGTAACGGCGACCTAAGAGTAAGTTCACGTATGATAGGTCATATATGGAAGAACTCCTAACCGAGTAACGATTACTGCAAATATTTATTGATAATGTTGTGATGGCACAACATTCATCATTACGAGATTCTCCATTGTAGTGATCATTAAGGTAAATCATTTGGACAAACTAACAAAGTTATCTTTACTTGCCGCATCATTCAATTGTACTTGGAATATGAAGGAAGAGCATTCATTTAGTAGAAGCTTTGTCTTTGTTTAAGGGGAAATGTACAGTTTACTGTTCAAAAAGGTTAATTGAATTTGACATGTTTTAAATGTGAAATATTTGGGTAAAATAGACAAAATGATTAACGAGACTAAAAGTGAGTTGTCCTTTATTGAATGAAATACGGAGGTCTATTTATACTTTTTCTAATGATCGGATAAAGTTATCTCAGCTATGATGATTACCAATATTTAGGGTGATGTTGACAGGACAATAGCGATGTATGACGAGCTGTTGCCTAAATAATAAATTTTTCTTAGACTTATAACTGTCACAGTGATAAATATTCACACGTAGGCGAGAGTTCCCAATTTACAAATAAATATCATCTATCTTGATTTTAATTGGGTTATTTAATTGTTCTTTATGTGTAATGGCTTATTGATGTGCCATTTATTAGTCCAAATACCACAAAATGCTCAGCAAAAGTTTGTCAGTACGAAGCACAGAATATATACTTTAAAGGTCAACAGGATCCGTTTTATGTGAAAAAGCAGCCAAAGATGAATAAGACCGTTATGATGTAACTACTCAGTAAAAGAAGGCAAGCACTTGATCAAAACTATTGTTAAAATTTTAAAGAGGAGTAACAGTTAAACGAAAAGAGACAGCAGAGCCTCAGTATTAGCCAAGGAATACTTGGCAAGGTTCGTCCTTGGTAGTATTCAGAAAGAGCAGAAAATGACATTTGTCCAGCTACGAGTTGAAATCAAGGCAACACAGCTATTCGCTTATTGGCCTGGATTTTATGAAATTGATGTAATTAGAGAAGCAGTAGAACAAATATCCCATATTAAAAAGCAGCATTGATATTAGATGAAGGAGCGATAAGGAAAAGGGTAGACTGAGAACTACGGCTGAACATAATTTATTGAAATGCTACAAATGTGTTTGGATAACACAGGATGAAGCTTAAGAGGTGAGGACAGAGATGTTATGTAATGGTTTAGATAACACATGACAAAGGCAAAAGAAGTACTCTTTGACGTGTTTGATGAGATAATCATTATAATAACTCGAATATTGTCGTGTTTACATAGATCACACATCTCTTAATTCTCTATTTATTCATTTTCAGCTAATAGACGACGTCAGACAATTACAGTCGTCATCCCTCATATATTCAGGTCGTACCTTCACTTATTAGTTCCTCTCTCAACTTTAAATAAAGAATAGTAGTTGTTAGCTATTAACTCCTACTGTTCTATATACACATAAACACAAGAAATATCACAAGTATAATCTTACAGTATAGCATACATTCTACTTTACACTCCTCTATCGCATCTGATAAGAATAACTTATAATAACAACTATAGTAGCTACTAGTATAACAATATTAATATAAGCATAAATAATGTCAGTGACGACTATAATATAAATAGCAGTCATAGATTCTCTACCCAAGTAAACTCTCACACAAACTTAATATAATAATATTCAGCTCTTCTTAATAAAGAATTTAATTCGCAAGTCATCGACTTAATAGCCTTTTTTCAATAACACTAAAGCTGAATACAACATTGTGGCAGGGAAAGATAACCATAGTCAACTAAATTAGCGTCAAACATAATCAGGGGCGTAACTAGAACAAAGATGGCAAAGTAATGGAAACATAAAATAAGAATATTTTGAATCTGTTGTTGTTATAAGTTGGACATAATATAGAATAAATTGTGCTATAAAGCGTAAGCAGCATTATCCATTAGGACAAGGTTTACCCATGATCTGCTATTGAATTATGTGTAAGGAATAAATACTTTATATGAATTAATTGTATTAGAAGCCCTAGCTTGAATAAATCCAATGATTGACATTAAGTCGCATTGAGATATAAAGAGAATCCAATGATCTACAGATTTTATAATAGAGCTTTTCTTCATTTATGATAATATAAACCTTCATACTATTTTATTCTACAAAAAGACTTGTAAAGGTTCCTCGGATCAGTATCTCTCCTCACTGCCTAGGTTTCATATCTATCTTTAACAACTGGTCATGCACATGATGATGTGTCGACTGAATTAACAATGTACTTTCTTATTAAATAAGATGTTAGATAATACATTTCTACGTGAGATCGCGTCATTCTCAGCATCCACAGTTTAGTCGCTATCTAGATATCGTGAATTAACCAATGAGCAGTACTAACTCAATAGAAGATCTCCCCAAAAGTCGTGTATCTCAAAAAGTATAAATAGAGTCCTTTATTCTATGTAATTTGTTCTTCGTCTAACTTTCTCCTAATAAAGCATTTCAAAGTATTTTCTTGTTTGTTTTATCTGTTAAGAGAGTTACCCTATCACAATAAGAATAAAGGGTTATTAATAACGTCCAAGGTGTATCATTAAAAGCATCATTATCTTCATTAAAACGTCTACTATAATAAACATCCCAAGGAAATAGATAGCGCGAAACGTACTTTAACAGACATGTGGACAGAATATACAGTGCTTTTATGTATGAAATGATTAATGTATGAGATAGGATTATGCTACATCCTTTCAAGCGGTTTAAGTCCAACCAATCTCATACCATTAGCCAGCGTTGTTTTAGCCGCCCAAAAGAGAAGCAGTCTTGCTTGAGCCAGTTTTGGGTCGATATCTTTGATACGTAGGTTGTAGTTCACCTGACTAATCATGTGTGCCAGCTTGAAGAGATAAAGAACAATGGTACAAGGCTCCAATGTTTTAAAGGCAACTTGTACATTATCTGGATACAGTGAAATAGTTCGCGTTAGCTCAAAGGCTTCAGTCTCTGTCAATAGAGAAAAATCACAATCTGTCGATATGTTGATGTTCATCTTGCGCTCAATACTATGGCATGTTATTAATCTTATGAATGAAGTGCTGATTACTACTCTACTTACCCACAAATACGTGCATGTGTATATTGTAAAAACACACCCGTATCCCCTTTTGCGTCCATCATTCTGTCCCAGACAAAGTTGTAGTTCCTCATCCTCTTGGCTGCCATATCTTGAGTGATAACATCAGATATACCTAAAGTATCTGCAATATAATCGACAGCTTCTTCTCCTTTGATGATATGGCCACTGACAGAGATACCTTCGTTCAAAATATCCATGTATTTTCCATGCCTCATATCTTCTTTAATTGTCTTCAGCATACTCTCCTTGGACGTATCAAGAATATCACTCAAAAATATAGCTGTTCCTTTTCTGGTCGACATACCTGTGATCCTTCCAAATGGTGCATGAATTAGCTCTGGACAGTGATTATGTTCGTCCCATAAAAGCTCAATGATCTTGAACAATTGCTTAAAGTGATGCTCCTGCTCAATGCCTACAACGTAAATTATCTTTTCCAGACCCTTGAACTTTTCACATCGCATCATGACACTGGCTATATCGCGTGTTAAATACAAGCTGGCCCCATCCGCCTTTCTGATCACGGCTTTTCCCAAACTAGGATCATAAATGGACAATTTGACTACCATTGATCCATCTTCTGACTCATCACAAAGTCCTTTCTGTTTAAGTGCCTCGTAAACTTGGGGAATATATTTCTCTGTTTCAGATTCGCCTGAGAAATGATCAAACTTGATCCCAAGGCGCTTATAAGCCTTTTCATAGCATTGAATGCTCTGATCACGGAACTCTTTCCACTGCTGAATGACCTCAGGATCTTTATCTTCCATTTTCTTAAAGTATGCAGCAGCCTCTTGCTCAATCTTTTCTGAGTCCTCTTTCATTTCCTGATGGATTTTGACATAGATGTCATATAGATGCTTAATAGGGTCCTTTTTCAGTTCTTCAGGATTTCCATACTTTTTATAACCCACAGCCAATAGTCCTTGAAGATGATGATGATTTAATTGACTTTAGTACATTTTATGTCACCCTTACCATATTGTTTTCCCCAATCTCCCAAGTAGTTAAGACCGATACACGTGTATCCATTTGCTTCGTATATCCTTTTGATAAACGCACCGAGGATTGTACTCCTTAAATGTCCAGCATGAAACGGTTTGGCTATATTGGGTGAACTAAAGTCGATGAGGACCGTCTTATCTGCTCTCTCTGTTTGACCATATCGTTCTCTTTCCTCATAGACGTTCTGCAACGTTTCTTTGATATATTCCGTTTGGTTAACGCTAAAGTTCAAAAAATGACCCTGAGCTGTTACTTGTTTGATATGAGTGTCTTGTCCAAACTTTGAATAGTTCATTGATGTTAGCAAATGAAACAAACAAACGAACAAAAAAAGACAAGGAAACTTACTGAAAAAATGATGTTTTTACACACCCTGTCTTGGTCTTGATCATTAGTCAGTTTGAGTAAACGGGGAATGGGAAGAGTAAATTGCCCATGTTCGTGTGATTTAGGTATTTGAATAAGTTCAAGTAGATCTTGTTTGTGAACACGTAATAACTTGGTCAATTTGGTCGCAATGACGTTTTTGAATTTGAGCTTTGTGTTATTCACTTTATGTAGTTCAGGATTACTAGTCTTCTTGTTTGATTTTGCCATTTTAAAGAAAAAAGAACTGTCATTTTATGCGACTTTAATTATTTATCAAACCACATTTAAATTTATCAGAATATCAGCACGATTACTACTGTTAAGGATAAGAAGAAAAAAAGGGGGCGTGTTTATAATTATGAATGAATTCAACCTAATCTTTATAAACCCAATTACTCTGTTTCCTGTTACTTTTGACTTGCTTAATTCATGAAAAAAAAAAAGACACTATTCCATATTAAGTCACTCATATCCATGCAAGGCAATTACACTTATATTAACAGAAAGAAAACTTGATCAGTAATAAAATCAAGACAACTTTTCTTACTAATTATCATCTCATAATAAACTCAACGTATAAAAAAAGAATAATTCTTTTTCATGACTTGATATTATCGCGCATGCACTCAGCGGAGCTACTGTCTTTATTACTTTCCACTCTTTTTTTTTTAAAAAAAAAACACACACACTTCTATACATAATGTTCAGACATTTATTACCACGTAATGTAATAACTAGATCTTTACATAAATATACAAAGGTCCCCAGCTTTACAACCATTGACAAGGCCGAAGTCAAGAAATTCAGTGATAAAGCAGCCGAATGGTGGAATCCGTCAGGAGAGTTTGCCATGCTACAATTATTAAATCCTCCTCGAGTGACATATGTCCGAGATCAACTCGTAGGATCCAATAGTGAGGCAGCCAAGAGTGGGAACCCGTTTGCAGGGAAGCGTATGTTAGATATTGGTTGTGGTGGAGGACTGCTTTCTGAGGTACCCTTCTTTCTTCAAATAGTTGAGTAATAACATAGTTACTCATGCTTCTTTCTTCTTAGTCACTTGTTCGACTTGGAGGCGATGTTGTTGGTGCAGACGCATCCTATGATAATATACAAATGGCTAAAGTACATGCCCAGCAAGACCCGTCTTTATGGCAGGGGCCAGGAAAACTAGAATATCGTCATACAACAGCAGGTAAGAAAGAAACAGCTGTTTACGTCAAGAATACATATAAACTTTTTTGTTTGTTAGAGGAGCTTTTGGAAAAGAATGAGAGCTTTGACGTTGTATTGGCCATGGAAATTATAGAACATGTCAATCAGCCTCTTGCCTTCTTAAGGACGTGTGCTAACCTAACGCGCCCTGGTGGGGATTTGTTCTTATCAACCATGTCGCGGACACCCGCAGCTTATTTTTTGACCGTCTTTTTAGCAGAAAAGGTACTAGGCATGGTTCATGATGGAACACACGATTGGAGTAAATATATCAAAAGTCGTGAATTATGCAATGCAATTGAATCATTTGGAGATGAATGGTCTGTTAAGGATGTGCGTGGCATATCATGGGATCCATTCAATAGACGATGGAAACTAGCAGAGCGTAACGGTTCGATTGGCTTTGGTGGATTGGAGTCATTGGAAGTAAATTATATCATGAGAGCATCAAGAAAGATTAAGCAATAAATATATTATTCATAAAGCACATAAAATATATATATAAAAAGGGCACGAAAATAAGCTAAGATGCAGGAACGCCAGACTTTTGTTGCTCTGCTGCCAATTTCAAAGCTGCAGCTAGACTATGTTTCCCATCTGTCTTATCAGATGATAAACTTGCAGTTCTTAATCTATTCATTGCCCTAATAGCTCCCACTGCACTCTTGAGTGTCCTACGAGGATTGAAGTTTTCACGAACAGTTTGAAGAATGTCGATATCATTAGCATTATCGCCTGTCATCCACTTGTGCTTCAAAGCCTGTGCAGCGGTCATTCTTGCTTTATCGTCCAATGTCAATAAATTTCTGATAAAGTCTTTGGCTATACTCATGTATTACTTTCCTTTTTCGTGTTTTAACAAAATGATATTACCATCTTCTGAAATATTTCTCCAGTATCTCTCATGGAAATCATATCTTGCATGCGTAATTTCATCAATTAACTCCACTTGATCCTCTGCTTGGAATGGCTGATAACCACATAATCTTCATATGAAAGGTTAGCTTTTTCTATAATGCGATATGATGACCAATCAAACTTACAGAGTATAGGCAATAACACTATATATGATCAAATTAGCACAGTTACCCCAAACACACTTTCATTCTATACTTACCCAACAGCCCACATATCAATTGCGGTACCATAGCCCTTTCGTGTCAACACTTCAGGAGCTAAAAAAAGAAGAAGAGAGAATAAATCATGGCTTCATAAACACAAACATTCACCTACCGACATAACCAGGCGATCCACAGACCGTTTCCAAAGCAGAAACGTCAGAATTGTTCTTTGCGATACTAAAAATATGATAATCAGCCACACGCAAACAAAGTTAAATAATTTGTGCAACTCGTTCTTCGTTACCCAAAATCGCAAATAACCAAATCTGCATCAGAATCAGGTGTTTTGAATAGCAAATTTTCAGGCTTCATGTCTGCAAAAGTCATTAGGCCAAGCATGTATCTTGATAACTCTTTACCTCTGTGAACAATATTGTGTGAATGCAAGTATTCAAGGCCAATGAGGACTGAACGCATGATGACAACTGCATCCTTTTCTGAAAACTTGCCTCTTTCAAACAAGCGTTCAAATAATTCACCACCTGTTGCACTAAATTAATAAGTTAGTCATAACATGTTTTAGTGAAAAAAAAAATGTCATATTTCATACAGTTCAAATACAAGATAAAATTTGTCCCTTTATAAAGATGTTTATTGATGAGAGTACTTTGTATGTGTATCAAAATATACCTTGACTCGAAATAGTCATAGAATCCAATCACATTAGGATGATTCAACCCCTTGAGAACATTGACCTCGTCTTTGACCATATCATTATGATTCTTTACGTTACGTTTAGGGATAATCTTGATTGCGACTTCCTTTCCGTCACTATTTCTGATCGCCTTCTTGACCGAACCAAAGGAACCACTGCCTTTGAATGTCATAGATCAATAAAAGTGTGTGAATAGATCATCTTAATTACCGAGAACTTCTGAGAAAGTATAGTTCTTTTTCTTTTCATAAGACTCGGGCTGGCCTACACCTCCGTGAACAATAGTATCAAGCGCCTTAAAGAAACCCATTTGAAAAGAAGAAAAAAGAGAGAGAGAAAGGGAGAAAAAAAGAAGGAGCAGAAAAAAAAAAAGATAAAGCATCCAAATATGGAAATCGCCAGTGACAACGTTTGCATAGGTAAATATTTTGCCACTTTGTGTTCACATAAGCATTCTTTTTTTTCTTTTCACTAATGTCTCAAGACCTGTAAGGAAACAATGCAACATAATACAAGTATAAATTAAGACTTTCTTAGGAAAACCCAACACATCAACTCACTGTTTGCGCATAATCCTACAACGACGACTGCAGTTGAAGGTCAACTTTATGAATTACCACTTGTAGAAGATAAGACGTTCTTGCTGATAAACTTGCCTCCTCACTTTCCTGAAGAACCACCAGTAATCACATTCTCACCAACCAATATGAGACATCCTTGGCTTGAGTCTGACGTGGTTGTGTGTGATGGTCTGTCGAACTGGCAACCACAACAGTCTAATTTGGGAATGCTCGTAAAAGAAATTTATAAAGAATTTACAACTAGGCCTCCAGTAAAGAAAACAATGACTAATGAGACCAAGTCAGAGGAAGGGTAAGCATATAATATGAATGCAATGAATATTGAAACGCATCCCGATATAGTTACGGACACCGCCCACTTCCTCCTATACCACCCATGATGCCGTCTAACCCTGAATATGCAGCCATATCTAAACTAAGGTACTGAAAGAAAGGATAGACACGTCCGAACTCACTTTTTTTTTTCTTAGCCCCGAAGAAGTGGAAGAACTCTTATATAACGAAACAGCTTTCGAGTTATTTTTCTATAACCTCGAAAGAGTGAAAAACTTGAAAACCTTCCATGAAGACTTGAGAAATGGCAATGAAATGCTTGCACGTAAGAAAGAAGGGAAAAGTAATAAAAAAGATAATGATACATTCAATAGTAGACAAGAACTTAAGCAGAGAGGATGAGTTGATCAAGCTGAGATCAGAAGTTGTAAACTCGCATCTGAAATATAAGGCAGATAAACAAGATTTTGAAGCTAAAGAGAAACTACAACAAGAGGCTTTTAATGTAACTCCCCTTTTCTTTCTTTACTTTATTCTAACTTCTTTTCATAGAGATTCTCCTCATCCACAGTACTGACCAGACTCAAGGCAAGCGTGTATGAGTCAGACGAACTATCAGAGTCAGTAGCACAGAGCTTCTTAGATGGTAACTTGAACAATGAAAGCTTTGTGAAGCAGTTTAGAGAATTCAGAAAGGTGTATCACTTGAGAGCAAGCAAATTGGAAAAGGCTCAAAGGGATAACTTGTTTATACCCGCATATTATTAAACCCAACCTTTATATTAAACGCGCATATACTTTATTCAGAAATTACGCTGATAGAAAAATGACAATTTCAGACAACAAATAATAAAAGAGAGCCCACAATAAGTGAAAGAATGAGATATAAAAGATTAGTATTTTCAGTTACGTGTTAAAAGTGCTGACCACATTTATCTTCTCTCAAAAATATCAAGCTCATTACATGTATTAAATGTTGTCTTTTAAACAATGAAGATTGATGATCAAGATCATTAAAGTTATTGATCTTATATTGTGTGCATATGTACAATAAGGATATACGATTGACATAAGTGATGAAGGGTGAAAACATAAATAAGCAAATTTATTTATAAAATGATTGATATTCGACTCTAAATACAATATTTACACATAGCATATATCTTTTTTTGAAAAAAAAAAAAAAAAAATACACATTCTTTAACAATCACGAACTGTCCATTGACTAACATGGCCTACAGCATTACTATAAGTGCGTGGCGATTGATTTCCATACAGAGAGCGATGTGGGACGTCTGCAGATCTTACTACCCAAGCATCGGGATCAGTGGCAACAACTGTATTATCAAGCTCTACAAATTTGACCTTCTTTGCCTTTGCTTCGTCTTCACTACTATCATCACGAGATCTCTTTAAACATTTTTTTGCATGAAGTTCATCGGGCAAATCCAATTCAGTTAATGCCAATTTTTGCTCTGGTTGTTTCTTGTTCATCTTGCAGTTGGTAACATCCTTGTTATTAGCAACCATTTCTTTTTGTTCGTAAAAAAGCATGTATGCCTGTTGCTTCATGACTTCTTTAACTCCAACATGGCAGACCTCCTCATCATTGATGAGATACCATGATCCCCCAGAGTTTCTAACATATGCATAGTAGTGTCCAGAATCGCATGTTGAACCTTGATGTACAAGGACTGCATACAGACGATAAGTAGCCTTTTCAACGTGCTTTTCTTCGCTCATATATGGGGCCATATTCAAGATCGTTGGATATCTGATACGCTTTTTAAGCTTGACCATACTGTCAGAATGAAAGTCGTATTCAAATCTTTTCAAGTGAATAATCAAATTGTTTGGAATTTCAGAAATCGTCATTTGCTTGTATGCCTTGACTTTTTGCTTACATCTATTTGATAACAAATTAACAAACATGTAAATGGGAATCGTCTTACGATACTTACTGTTCACAGTTGTATCCATTTTCACTGGGGTTATCGCCACCAATAACATCCGTTTGGATATATGATTTCAAAGCATCTTCAATGCTTTCGGCTTCATTCAGCTGAACACTGAGATCCAGATACCGATCGTAGCTGTTTGATTTTGCATTGCAATTATCGCAAGTGACCTGTGACTGCAGTTTACCACCAAAGATATAATGCACAAGGCCATTTTCTTCTTGCTCAGGTGTAAGTTTGCTAAAATAAACATTGTGGCTTAGCTAAAATCTTTTTTTTAAGGGGCAGCCGATTTACCTTTTGGCGGGTGTATATGAATTTTGGAATGCATCAAGAAGGAACATGAAGAATTCGTGAGCGTCTTCTTGACGGCCCAAAGTCAATCTTGATGATATTCCTATTGATATAAAAATAAATTAAATAACTTATGAATAAAAGTGTATTTTGACTTACTTTTCAAATTGCTAGTAAAATAGTTCAAGCTGATAGCAGCAAGGGGGGTCAAACTTTTAAATGTTTTAAAGCATTTGTAAACGTGTTCAGTCATTGCACATAAAGCGCAGAAACCTTCTTTGAGGCCTTGTTGATAGTGGTTAATGGGATGAAAGTGCGGGCAAATGCTGTCACTTACAATTTTCCTTATGGTCGTTGGTTAACAAGTATTGAGATAAGGGTGCAGTGTATGTTAAACATGCCAATACTGAATTAAGAAAACATGTGTTGAACATGTTGATGAATCCAGGTCCAATCTTCCTCTTGAAAGACCAGCTGTACTGTAGCTTGCTTCTATCAAAAGGAATAAATTTGGAAGCAGGTGAAGGCTTGGTATTCCTTTGGTTTTGTTTTTTAAAGATCTTTGTCATTTGTAAAATAAAAATAAAACAAAGAGGAAAGAGCTGTAACCAAATACTTTTTTTTTGACAACAAAGAGAATAAAAGCAGTAATGTCGTGGTCACCGCCCTTATTCCGGAAACTGGTTTCAGGTCTAAAATTTTTTTTATATTTTCATAAACCTCACAGATAAGTTGTAACTTTTATAAAGGGATTACTCTTTACTTCTTGCGTGTGTGTAATCGTTTTTGATGGCTTATAATACTGGTTGTAAGATTAGCAATAACGTATCCGTACTGGTTTGTTTATGATTCTATCATATCACCAGTTTCATCATCAAATATACACTTTTAACTGTCCTTCTCCATTGGACTAGCTATCTATAAATGAAAGCACTTGAAGCCTTCACAAAGAATAGTTCTACTGTGGATAAAAAGACGAAATGTGATTATATATTTCCCAAACGAATGATGGACATAAACATGGTGTGCATTCCTAAAATGTACTTCCAATAAGCGTCAGCATAAGAAGATATATAGTAAAACATGATGAAGATAGAGAGAATCTGTGTGCAAAATGCAATTTGTTGTTATGATGTGTGCATATACAAGTTAAGATACAGCCTATCCTCAGTATAGCATTACTAAAGTACATGCAGCAACTTGAAATATTGCTTAACAAGTCATTATTAGATCATCCTTTTCAGTCGTCGTTTGCTCATTTTGTAACAAAAAGAAGACTATATAATATCATATTCGTAAGCTGACATTCGAATGTAATCTATGGCATTCATGTCGCATATTCACGAGAGCGCACCTCTGTAAATAGGCCATTTACTTTAACAATAACTATATTTCATCATATAGCTTGCAATATAGAACCCATTTAGCACTGAGATGACCCTTTTATTATCTTGTCTCAGCTTCCTTATTTACAAGAATCAATTCACTAAAGCCAAGCTGTCACCACTACTGTATATGAAGTTGTTGTGTATAGAAAATGCATTACTGCTGGTCATTATCCTTCTTATTCCTCCCCTATCCGTTGTGAAATCCTTGTACATCACATATTGTTTTTCAATTTCATAGTCCAATCTTTGGCAAGTTTTTGTTTCATGATACTATCTGTACGCTTTGGTGAAGGGTATCTGAATTTAAAATACATAAAGTCTCTTTTTTTTTTTCCTGGGCTCTTTTGACTCATAAGCAGATACACACTCTTTATATATACTTTTTTTCTCTCTCTTTTATTTCTATATATTACGAGAATAAGCAAGGAATTGTAAAGAATTAGACAAGTAGTAACATGTGACTGGAATGTCAAACTGATGAACTGACATGATTAAATAGTGGAAGACATGAGCAGTGGATCTGACAGTGAATATTCAAAATATTGGATTGATTGGTTTTTGGACACCAAAGGAAATGAATACTTTTGTGAAGTAGACGAAGAATATATCTTGGATAGATTCAACTTGACTGGACTCAATTTAGAAGTGCCGCAATATTACCTTGAGGCATTAGACATGATTACGGATAATTTAGGTAAAAGAAGCAAGTCGAATGATTCAGGCCAGCTGACAAGTTTTTTTTAATAGAAGAAGAAAAGTTTGATGATAAAACAAGAGACCAAATTGAACGAGCTGCACGACACTTGTATGGTTTAATTCACGCCAGATTCATTATTACCAGTCGTGGATTATCAAAAATGGTAAGGGAAAGAGAAAAAGAAAAAAGACGAGGGCCAAAACTTTTTATTAGCTTGAGAAATATAAAAAAGCAGAGTTTGGTCGATGTCCACGAGTGCTCTGTAGCCTTCAGCCGCTCTTGCCGGTGGGATTATCGGATGTGCCGCAGACAAAGACTGTGAAATTATATTGTCCACGCTGCGAGGATATCTATAACCCCAAATCATCACGACATGCATCCATTGATGGTGCTTACTTTGGCACGTCATTCCCTCACATGTTGTTTCAAGTACACGCGAATTATCTGCCTACAAAAACATTTGACCGTTATGAACCACGTATCTTTGGATTCAAAATTCATCATATTGCAGAACAACATCGATGGCAGGACCGGGCTCGTGAAGAGTATCAGAAACGATTGATTGAATTGCAAAAATCAGAGGAATAATAAAAGTCAACGTGACTGTAAATAAACAAGATGACGTTTATCCATTTCTTCTCTTTAGGGCGGGGAAAGAACGGAGAGGGGAGGGGGGATAGTTAGATTGGGCGTAAAAATAATAACTCTCTTTTTTTCACTATCGGGGAACTGACCATAAAAGGTAGCCTATCATCTCTTTTCTTTATTTTGCATGAATCTTTAGAGAAAGAAAAAAATAATTCCATTTTTATTTTTTCTTACGGAGAGTCAAAGTTAAAAATTTTTTAAAGATGGAAGCAAGATTTGTTGACATGTGTAGTCCTCATTTCTATAATGGGCTTTTAGTAGCTGCAGTCACAGACAGAGATGGCGTTGTGTTATTGAAATGTAAGTGTATAAATAGGTATATTTGCTAAAACAATTTTCTTACCCCATTTGGTTAAAACAGGCAAGTCTGAAAATGCCAAAGACGACCTGATTGAGTCTACTCTTCAAAGTACTTTTGCAGTAACCAATAATCAGGTATGTGGAGTTCAAATATGAAAAATTGTAGCATCGATCAGTTACCAGTCATGCGATGGAATGGAGAACCAATCATGTATTTTTTTTTAGGCATCAAAGCTTGGCCTTGGTAATAATAATAGCATCATCAGCGTTTATGACTTGTACCAGATTATCCAATTAAACGATGCACCTCTCATCATCACTCTGATTGCTGACGCCAGTGCCAATACAGGTAAAAAAAAAAAAAAAAAGAAAAAGAAAAGAGATATAACAAAGACTAATACAAGGAAACTGTTAGGTCTCTTTATGAGCTTGGGACATAGTTTGATCGATCTGACAAGGCCCATTGTGGAAGCATTAGTCGTAGATAAATAGAAATAAAGGAAAATTCATGCAAAATGTCAAATAATGGCATTGACCAACAATAAACAAAGAACCAGTCAGAGGTGTGTGTTACTATGGTAATGGTAGTAAGGAACGGGATTTATTTTTGTACGACAAATGATTTTATAAAATAGAAAAGACGACAAAATTACCTTTTTAGGATTGATCACTTTTTTATATAAAAGAACTCAAACTTTACCTTGATCTTTTTTCTTTACTCCCTTTTTTATTTCTTACATGCCTTCAGATTATTTTTATATCAAATCCATTTCTACCGGAAATGTTGTATCAGCCATCACACACGGAGATCCCCTAAGATCACAAGTCTTGGTAACCCCACCTACATTATCCGATGCAGAGCTTTGGTACTGGAAAGGACAATTTATTTGCAACAAAGCCAACGGACTCGTTCTTGATATTCGTAAAGGTAAACTTGGAGATGGTCTGCCTTGATCAAAGCTAACTGTTATCTGTCTATAGGACGCTTGAGATTAATTGAAGATACTGAAATTTGTTTGTATCATGCAAAGCCATTGGATGAAGCACACAACCAACTTTGGGGCGTTCGAAATGACGCTGCTGATGCTTATGGAAAACCATTGGTTGGATCATACATTTATTCTATCGCAAGTAACGAGTGGGTACTTGATATTCAAGCAGCTGAAAATGGAACACAAAAATTAGTGTTATTCCCACTTCAGCCCATCGATAATGATAATCAACGCTGGTTATTTGTCCCTGAAGGCGAATTATCCATCCAAGATACCAAAACATCTTACTTTCCTACTCATATCATGACACCCCCTGATTCTATTACTTCTTCACCTACCTACTCAACCTCCAGTCCAGACATTTCTGAATTTCCTCAAGGATTGACACCCGCAAAACGAGGATCACATTCTGCTATATTCTCAATGGAAGCATTTAAAGATTACCATAACAGAGTATATGGTACACAAGAAGGGAATATTAGGTAAACAATCCTTTATCGTGGGTAATTTCTTTATTCTAATCCGTTTCTCCATATAGTGATAAAGGTATTGCTATGGCATCTGCTTATCATATCTTTCAAAATTGGAAGCTAGATCAGATCACACATGATCCTATGCCATCAGCTGACATCCGACATCGACTCCAGACATTAACACAAATGGAGGTTAGTTCTATATATGTATGTGCATCGACCGTTATTTACTTTTTTCTCGGTTACAGGTTTCTAAACTCCTATCAAATGCAGCCTATTCAAATAACAACAAAGACAGTACAGTAGCACTATCCAATCGTCTTATTATGCAACTCTATGATCAAACACCCATATCACCCTAACTATGAATCACTCCTCCAACTCTCCATCCCCCTCCTTTACTATCTTGTTTCATATCCATTCTTTTCTATGTGTGACTTATGTTACCGGCAATCCCCGTTCAAATGTATATATTTACGCTCACTTCAACTATATGAAAATATGATGTATATTTAAGGATGATCAACTATTTTTTTTGTAAAGGATGACTAGATATCACCACATCTGTACCTATTCCCCCTCCCTTTTGTACTATATATTCTATGTTATTCTATTTGTATTTCTTGTTCATAGTAATAAAAATATATACATGTGATTATACAAAGTGTATATTCAGTCCCTATGCGCCAACCTTTTTTTGATTGTGAGACATGTATAACGTACGGAGAGAACGGAATATGATGGTCTAAACGCCCTTCGTGATTTTATACAAGTTACACTGAAGCCTTTGGTTTGAAATCTAATTTTACTCTTTCCTTGTAATTAAGAACCGTTGCACAGTCAAATTTTCCACACACACAATACATTTGTTGAAAATCCCAACTTGCTCTATATTGTTCATGAGAAAAGAGGAGGGTTTACATTATATAATAAGATCAGTTGCAGTCAATCCATTATTTTGCCCTTAGGTAACAAATAAAGATGCGGAGATACCTGTGCAATGTTTACTGAACGAGAGCGCCCATCAAATCCCAGGTGCTGTTTTGTTGTTGTTGTACTCTATGAAACAACTTTATGAGGGGCCAGATTGTCCCTGGCGTTCTTTTGAACAAAAAAAAAAGCGGGTTTAAGCACAGTTCAATCTTACACACACACACACAAAGACTATTTAGTTTAGATTCAAAAATATAAATTCGAACACTCTCCTTTTTTTTCTTGAGAATGAGAAGACAGGCCATGTTTGTTTTAAAGTTTATAAAAACAAGGTTCATTGCTCAACGTTTATCCATAAATTACATCTTGTAAACATTGAATAAGTATACAAAAATAGAAATAATGCAGTCAAAGTGAGGCACACGTTTCTACATTGACTCTGTTGGATAGTGAGATGATGCATATATGAACCAAGATCAAAATAGATAAGGTATATGATATATGTATGTGTACAGAAATCAAGTCACTCGGTACCTAGTGCTACGATCTACAGTGATCAGCGCTTTGCTCAACATGTCAAACACTTGGTTGCATGAAATTAAACAAGAAAAGATAATAGAACTCCTTTTATAAAGTATCTATAAATAAAACGAAGTAGACTAGTTTCGATTCTAGATTTTAGTTTGCAAATTGGAATCAGATGTATATGTTTTTAGTTATTCTTGTTGCAAAAAAAGGGACCTGTACCTCAACACGAAACGCATCGGAGTAAATAAATGGGTGCTGACAGATGTGTCCATCGAGCGACCTATTTTAGACCCAAACTGCAGATGACATTGTATCCATGCATCTATTTCTGAAAATGGCAAACAAACAGTGCTTTCCATATGGTAAATGCGCATAAAGAGGCTGAGCTTTTGTTTCCATAACGATGACCAGCTCTCTCTCTCTCTTTTTGTGGCACTTTGCTTCAAATATTTACTAAAAAATAAGCCCCTTGCACATGGAAACCAAATGAATCTCTTTTTATTAAACCCAGAAAGAACAAGTGATTTCTGTTTTAGAAACTATGCTAAACTGATGACAAAAAAAGACATGACTTCATGTTTTTCTTTATTCCCCCTTTTGTCATTTGCGAACAAGTACAAGATAAAAGGATTCTCAAGGTTAAAATGGAAATATTTTCAATAAAATAGGTTATGGCTATAAAAGAACAAGATTACGTCTTACAGAGACCAGTGTAACTTTCCTTTCTTTATGTTATTATCCTAAAGTATACTTTGACATGACAGAAAGGATGAATAGCAAAATTGATTCATCTTTTCCCCCTTTTCTTTCATAGTGTCTATATTCATCCCTTGTCAAGAGCAAAAAGGAAAGAGACAAGGGCAAGCCTCGGTAAATGCATTTTACTAAATTCACTACAAGAACTGTCATTTTAGTAAAATTAAATTTTCATCAGGTACAAACACAAGGAAAAAAAATAGTGACATGGTAAAATATTCAGATTTTCTCCTTTTCCTGGATACACACACATATACACATTAGCCTAGAAACATACGATATTTCTTCTATACATAAAGTATATAGGAATAGGCCCTTCCGGACATTAAATATAGTTCAAGCGGCCTTTTTTAATAATTATTATTAATGCCTATGTCTCTAAAAGGGTTCCAAATCTTTAAACATTCGGTCCAACCTTTCAAAATGACATTCACAAGGTACTACCACAAGCAATTCTTGTTTCTCTTGTTCATTTCTCGATTCGATCTCGATAGAACTCGGTTGTTCAACTTTATTAAGCGGACATTGTTCGGATATCTGTCTCTTCGTGAATTTAGTCAGGATAAATTAAGTTCTGACGCTCAATTGTCACAATTAGTAAAGAGTTTCATGCAGACCTAGATTCTTTTATATCCAGCCTTTTTTTTAGAAAAAAGTATTCAGGCATAAACTTTATTTAATGGTCGGAACTGACTAAATGGAATGATTCCCGAGGCTCAACTGGCGACATTCAACAAAAGACTCTAGAATGGTGTATCTACATGTCATTTTTAAAGTTTTTTTTGACAGACTCACTCTTTAGGCCCTACTGGCACTGCTTTTCGTATACAAAGACTATATAAACAGCGCGACACCAGTTTGCCTATTCCTCAAAGCCAAGATTTATGAATCTCCTACTCATCAGTTCTACAACTCTAACATGCCATCTCAATAAATTGACTTTCATTATGAAGTTCATACAACTCAATTACTGCTTTTGCTGAAAAGTTGAATTGCCTTCATTATTATTATTTTAAAAAAAAAAGAGGATTATCGCAATTAACGTTGGTGGCTTTTTTTTTTATTGAACAAAGACTTGTAACTATTTCTTTTTCTTTATTATAGTTGACATGTTGTCTTGGATAAAGCAATCTTTCTCAACGCGTACAATAACCAAGCAACTATGATTAATACAGTTGAGAAAAAAAGTAGCCAAGTCGCATAAGGAATTCACTGAGGAATGATTTACAGAAAATATCTCTGCTTCTACCAATGAGGAACATGTATTTAGACGCATAATTCAATTCATTGAAGTGGTGTGATGGATAAAAGCTAATCATCAGCCTGGATTTTAAACAATTTAATGACAACAAAGCACTTGTTTGGATGAAAAAGATGTCCGTTTCCACTTGTGGTGTGATATCATGCAGTCAATAATTTGGCATTAAACGCCTTTGATATGTGCTTACGAAAGGTCAAAAAAGCATAAATTGCCGATCCATTAACAACACCTGTGTTAGATATCGACTTTGCTTTACCATCAGTTTCTCCGCTATTTTTCTCAAGTAATATCTGTTCAGTTAATAGTTTTATACCAATAGTTCGTTCCTATTATAAGTCTCTATAAAGATTTATTATGTCTTGCTTCAGTTGATTCGTAGTCAGACGTGTAATTGATAGATGGATGGCACTGAATAGAAACATAAAGGTGTTAAAGTATTAGCTTAAAGAGGGAAGGCTAAAGACACGAGAGATAACTTGGTCTGGGGGGAGTCTCTTGCAGTTTTACGCATTACAAGTCTTTGGAGAGGGGGGAAGGGGCTTAGTACTGGAGTGGCATCTGTAGAAAAGTATAAGCAGCTATGGAAATAGGAGCTCAAGCGGAAGGGTGACAGTAGAAGGAATAGAATCAACAGCCTTGCCAGCAGCAGGCTCTGTTTTTTTTTTTTTTTT